CCCCCCCTTCATCCCCTCTCTCTAGTTACCCCCCCCTCTCCCTGGATTCTGAGTTTTCCATTTCCTTTTTTGGAGAAAAACTGTGACAGAGGAGGGGAGGTTGGGACGGGAGCACATGTGCTACTCTGGATGTCAGTGAGCTTGTGACGGACATGTGTCCGACAGTTAAATCCCCCCCCCGCCTCTTGGAGACTCCCACGCTGCTAACAGGTAGTTTAACTTACCACAGGGTCCAACATTTCTAACAGCTTAGTGCTAGTTTCATCCTGTGCGAGTAACCCGGTGCTACTCGGTACCTGGCCGGCCATTAAAGTCCGACACTGGGCCACTTCACATGTTTAAGAATGAAAAGTATTTGAAAAATGTCCACTTTCTTAATTTGCGCTGAATGGTGGTAAAATCTTTTTTCGACAGATGCATTTTTAAGGGGTTAATTATGAGGCGGTCGAACTGTTTCTTCCTTTCACATGTCTGGAATTCTTCAGTTCTCAGAAAAAAGGATAAAAAGTAGAAAAAAATGTGTGTTTGATGAGAGTCGGGCGTCTTTCGCTAGCTTAAACAGAACGTTCCCACAATGTTTTGGTCAAGTTGTGCTGTTTTCCTACGGTAAACATTTCCAGTTGACTGAAATGCTAATACACAGTAACATTAAATATTTGAAAGGATGTGTTTTTTTTATTTAAATTTATTCATATACAATTTCATACATATAGTGTAGAGCAACATTTATGGCACAATAGTTTTCTTTTTGGTTCAAAGTTGAAAATGTTGAGTTTGTGCTCTAAAATCGAAGGAATATTTTCCCCCAAATTCAATAAGTAAAAATCACATCGGTAAACTCTGAATTACCAGCATCAAAGCTCAAAACAGTGGAATATATATATGAATATAATTTCTATGCATTTCTATGCAATTCTCCTTAGGTGACCATGTAAAAATTATCATTAAAAATAACAGTAACAACAATTTCTCTTATTAAAACAACATGCATAAAATTAGTCATCTCATAGACACATTGCTGCAGAATTTACTGGGGCTAGCCCAAACACTTTTAACATATAATAATAACGGCAATGGCAGTATTGGTAATAGTAATAAAAGCAACAGAAAGGTTTAAAAGGAAAGGTCTTATGTCGAGCTCATTAACTTAATGCCGGAAAATGGAGTGATGGACCTCATGACTCAGCGCCTTGCTGTTGGTGTGTGTGTGTGTGTGTGTGTGTGTGACACATAAACCCTCACATGGGTATGCTTCACTTGGGTCTTTGTTTTGATATTGTCGATATCATTTTCATTCTCCCTTCTCTCTTTTTAAGTATGACGCAGTGGAAGAGCATACAGTGTTTCCACGCGATGGCCTTCGATCTTCTATGCCCGTGTCGCTACCATGGATGCAGTGCATACCCGGTCTCCTGTGAATGAGCGCCGAAGGCCCCCAGAGCATATGAGAAAAGCGTGAAATCGTAACACTGACGCAGCCAGTCACCTCGAACACACGCTGGAGCTCTCGTGGAAAAAGTGAGCTGCATTAGTATCACGTGCTTAGTACATATTCACGCAAACAAGAGAGTAACCTAGTATCTGGCAGCAGAAAGAAGTGTGAGTTACTTAATCTCGTTTTTCATTGACTGCAACATGTAATTAAGCTTTATAGTCAAACCGACCAAACATACTGAGCATCTCTGACATCTGAGTTCGGAAGCGCACCGTGGAACCAAAACACAACCAAGGAATCACTGGCAAAGCGCAGTGCGCACGACGACCGCGCACAACGACTGCGCACGACGACCGCGCACGACAGTGAAGGCTTGCTCTGCCGTAGGTTTGGTGTCGGCTGGTGGGTTGGAGTCTAAGGGCAGCCAGATCAGAGATGCCCGATGTGTCCGGCCCTTTTCGCAGCTTCCTGTCCATCTGGACCTTCCTCAGAGACCCCAGACTACTTACTAAAGTCCAGTTCCCCAGCTGAGCATAGGGAAAGTGGACTTAATTAAAGATACACAGAGATGCTACTGGGCTAACAGCACCAGTGGTCTGGATACGATGGCCATTGCACCCCAAATAGACTTTCAGCAAGGTGCGACATCGGTGCTCTATTCCAATAAAGTTTCAACTCTGACAAGACGATATGGCTAGAATTAAAACTGAAGGCACTGTGGCATTATCCAATATATATATCTGCTGGGTGTAACAAAAAAGCTGGCTCAAACTGGGCTCTGTCATGTGTTTTCTACTTAAATGGCAATCAGAGTAATTTACAGGATCCTGCTTTGAAGGTAAACAATATTTCTGTTTTAAAGTTCTACCCAAAGTCCAGAAGACAAGAACAATAATAACAATTATTATAATGATAATAACGGATCTCTTTTGTAAGTGTTTTTTTAAGACACAGCGACTAGGAGGCATCTGATGGGTGGGCAGAGTGGAGTAGACTTGGGATGTGGCTGTGGGCGTGGCCTGCTGGGAGGTGGGTGGTCATGTGTGCTTGGGGGCGGGGCTTATAGATTACTGTTGCAGTCACGGCAGAGGATCTGGTCCCTGTCGGGGAAGAAGCCAGCGCCCACTAGCGACACAGAGCAGCGTGAGCAGGTGAAGCAGGCCTGGTGCCACTGCCGCTCCTCAAACGAGATGTACTTCCCCCCTCCGAAACCTGTTCAACCAAATACAGCTGGTTACCTCTTGAACACATGCATTAGCTTATCAGATCCTCTCCTTCTAACCGCTTGCTGAAGCACTTCAGGTTAATATGGTGAGAAAGCCGAGGAAAGGGCTCCATTTGATCCTTAGTTTGGACCCTATTGTACCTTGACGGCTACAGCTAAACGGCTAAAGGCATGGTGTAATCTACCAAGCTTTTAGTCTAAAATAACCACTTCCTGTCCTAGACTTATGTGCCCAAAAACTGCTCATTGCAATTCTTAATAACACACAGCATGGGGTGTGACCAGATTGGTTGGGTGTGTGGTTATGGGCGGGGCCGTACCTGTGATGGGTTTGCTGCATGACTCGCACTTCTTGGCGTAGAGGTTCCCGAAGCACTTGAGGCAGTAGGGGCTGTCCTCGCGGGAGGTGAACTGCTGGCCGGCCAGCTGCATCTTGCAACCCGTGCACACGAAACACTCCTTGTGCCACGGCTCGTCCCTGTAAGTCACGCCCCCTTTCGCCAACACCTGCCGCCAATCAGAGAGTCAGACGTGAGAGCTGGAAATGCGGAGTACAAAGCTGAGTCACGCCTGACGCCAGTCAGAGAGTCAAGACGTGGGAGCTGGAAATGCGGAGTACAAAGCTGAGTCACGCCTGACGCGTCTCTAAAAAGGGGACCGGCCCAGAAAACACCTGAGTGCTGCCTATACAATCATGGAAGTCCATTATATATCAATCTGTCAGGCACACACCAGAGGGTTGAGTATGCAATAACAGGTGTCAGGCCTGGGTAGTTAATGATTAAGCGTGTCTGTGGTAATTAGATAATCCTGGTCTCTACCAGACAGATTCCAGCACCACCTTCATGAGTCACTCGTACACTCCGTGGGGTCTCTGAGGTTTCCTGACAATCTACGGGTTACTGCTGTACTGTTGGGCAGACATCCAGACCCCGAGACACCCTCCTGTCTCATCTGCATCTTTCACCCCCTCTGTGGCGCTACCTTCCTCAGCTGTGGGCTGGTGCAGATTTGAACCCTTGCCCACCAGTTGCTCACTGCATCCCCAACACTGTACGACCTTAATGCACCTCCCCTTCCAGCCTACAATGTGTAACACAGGGTCGGCGGGGGGGACACACCTGCTTGCAGCGTGTACAGCGGGGGGCGAACTTGTTCTCGTAGCAGGGCACACAGTAGTGCTCATCCTTGTCAGGGATGAAGGACTTGGAACCAATGGGCTGCCCACAGCTGTGGCACACGAAGCAGTCCTCATGCCATGTGCTGCCCGCGTACTCCAGCTTCCGCGTCCCTGTGTGTGGGGGGGGGGGCGGACAGGTATAACTGCTGATGCAGCTGCAGGGAGATCAGCCAATGCATTCTACACTGACCTGACTGTCCCCTGCTTCTTACTTGATTCAATCATCGAACCTGGGGACAGAGGGCTTCAAATCCAATTTAACACCAATCCTGTTTACCCCTCATTTACATGTGTATGTGTGCCTCACATGAACTTCCTCTGCGATGTGAAAACAGTGATGAATCTGAATGCAAGTGTATGTTATTTAATAGATCATGTCCACCTACAGTACGTGAGGGAGTGTGTGTGAATTTTTGTATGGGGGGGGGCAATAGCTTGCAGGGTATGTCTCTGCAGCGCTGTAAATTCATTAAGGCAGGTGTGCCATGTAAATAAATGGTAAAATGCTAATGTTACAATGCTAATGCTAAAATGATAACGATAAGATTGCTAATGCTAAAATGCTAATGTTAGAATGCTAATGCTAAAATGCTGACATGACATAAATGACATGCAAAACACACATTATCACATTAGAAAAAGAGAGCAGCAGCATAATCAATATATACTACCTCAGGGTGGTCAACATGAAATATTTTAAACATATATATACTTCATATAAGACAGATAGTTAGGTAATGTTGAACTACACAGAGTTCAATAATTTAACAGCTATGGCAAAGAAGCTGTTTGTTAGTCTTGTGCGCATGAACAGTCCTGTATCGTTTCCCAGAGAGGAGAAGGTTAAAAAGATGGTGTACAGGGTGGGTGAGATCTAACTATGATGCTAGAGGCCTTCCTTTGACATCTGGACAGGTGACGGGGGGGGGGGGGAGTACCTGGCATGACGGTCTTGTCGCAGGCGACGCACTTGGAGGAGAACTCGTTACAGTAGCAGTCGTTACACAGCAGGGAGTCATCCTGGCTGGTGAAGGGCTCGTCCGCCAGCGAGCGGTCGCAGCGGAAGCAGCGGAAGCAGTGCTCGTGGTAGTGCCGGTCCTCGTAGAACAGCTCCTGGACACAGCACCGCCAAGGCTAGTTAGCGCCCGGCTCAAAGCCGACCCTCGTCTCATCGCCCCTAACGTAGACGAAGGCAAATATACAAAGGAGACGACTGTCTCCATTCTGCCCGAGACTGCAGGCACTGTTTAGGAGGAACTGAATTTTTGGACATGTGATAATCCGCCAAAGGTTACTGCAAATTGAAGTGATGCCACCAGGAGTCCCATTTTAGGAGCCAGTGGAAACACTGGGCTTGATACTGAGTCTCAGCAGCTTCAGCTGCATGTTTAAACAGCTCTGAAGATGCCTCCAGTTCCCTGTTTGCCTCACCATGAAGGAAGCGGACATCCACTAGCGGGACTCTAACGGCTAACGCGCTCAGTCCCCCCCTGACGCATCCAATGGCGACGGACGCGCCAATCTTTCCACTCCCAAATGAGGAAGCGTTTCAGGCTCCTGGCTGCAATATCACGGAGGAGGGTGAAAAACAGGAGGTGAAATGGCTGGCTGGTACATTTCCATACGCCACGACCCTCCGGGGGGGGGTTGCTAAAGAACAGGGGGGCTGAGGCTGACCAGTCTGAATTTCCTCTGCTCCCTGTCTAACTCACTGGTCGTTCATTTGTCCAAATGCAGTGGTTCTGAAACCCTACTTAGGGTTGGGGGGGGGGGGATGTGGAGCCTATCCCAGAGGCTACGGGTGCAAGGCAGGGAACAACCCAGGATGGGGTGCCAAGCTACCACAGGGCACATAGACCCCATTCACTCACACAGGCACACCTATGGGCAATTTGGCAACTCTAGTCAACCTCAGCATGTTTTTGGAATGTGGGGGGGGGGGGGGGGGGACTGGAGAACCTGGAGGAAACCCCATGATGACACAAGCACAACATGCAAACTCGGGCGAACCCGGGCAGAGACTCAAACTACAGTGCTAACCGCTGTACCACCGTGCCACCCCAAGAGTGATTGACCTGTCTTACAATTTTGTCCCTTTATACAACAGGTTAATGAAGCAGTCACGGTTGCCCCTGGAAACGAAACACTGCATCACCTGGGATGTTGCCACCTACAGCTCTCTAGCTAAGACTGCAGGAGTGCTGTAGCCCCTGTAGAGCAGGGGTAGGCGGGGCTCACCCTGGAGTCATGTCCAATCAGCTCCTTGCACTCGTCGCAGGTGTTGCCGAACAGGCTGTCGTAGCAGGGAATGCAGTACGGCTGCTCCTCCGCCTGGATGTACTTGCGCCCGTAGAGGGACTCCTTACAGTTGCCGCAGTCGAACCTCTCACTCATGGTGCTCCGCCCCCGGCCCGGCCCCCTGAAACACACGGCATTCACATGGTCACTTATGGTTCATGATTACTGCAGCCGTGGTGAGTGACTCCCCCAAGAAGGTGGATCAGCTGGATCGGAAAGTCTGAGAAGGTCCTGTGTGACTCTCTGGATGGGGGGGAGGGCAGAATTTGAACCCGATGACCCGCGTGAGACTCCCTCCCGAGCCGGCACGACCCAATAAGTCTCAGGGTTTCCCAGACATAACCTCCTGCCAGGGATTACACTTTGCTCACAGCTATCACACCCACGTGCCTTGTCTGGAAGGCGGCGGGGGTGCTTGGGGGGGAGGGGGCAAGGTTTCAGGTTCAACTACATGTCATGACGCTAAGGCAGTGATGGCCTGGTTATTGTGGTACAATGAGCAGGCCCTCTGTGTGCAGCTCCAGTTAGCGCCCCCTATCAGGGGTGTTGTGTATTGACAGACTCCAAGCCATCGCTGTTATATTTACAAAGATTCCAATGGCTGCAGTATAAAAACAGTATTCTGGGCTGTTTTCTTTTTCATCTCTGCGATATCTAAACACAACATGCCAGTGGAGTGGGCTTTGGAGAGCAGTTGGGGCGGACATGAGGGAGGGTTGACGTCAGCAGGCCCAGCAAGGGACGACGCCCCCCACCCGGGGGCATAAGGTGATGAAACACGGGAACCAAGAACATCACCAGAATATTCTGCTGGCTGAAGTTTGGTGGTGGTTAGGAGGGAGAGATTGCTCAGAGAATGACACTCCAGACAAATTCTCATAGTTGTTCCTCATGATGTACTACGGACCGCAACAGATTTCAGTCTCGTGTAACACTCAGTGACTCAGCGAGATGGGCCGGCTCTGTACACACCGAAATACCAGAGACATTAGTCCCACAGTGCCTGGGTGGTGTGTGTGTGTATGTGTGTGTGTGTGTGTGTGTGTGTCTGTCTGTCTCAGCATGCATGCTAAAGCACTGTGGGGGCAGTGCCATGTTTGTGCCTCTCTTGTTCTTTATAGAGATGACAGTGTTACACCGAAGTGTGACATAGTGTCCCCGGGTCACAGGCCCCAACATGGCAGCCGGATCGTAAATCTGCGCTGATCGTAAATCTGCGCAGTGCCTGGGTGGCACTGGGGACCGTAAGAGAGAACAGGGCGATTTAATCCTGGCAAACAAAGAATCAGAGCCAGCAAGGTTTTTGGGGGTGGATGGGATGGGAGGGGGTCCGCCAGACCCAGCTGGTGCCATGGGCTGGCCCGGTAATCTGCTGCACAAACAGCTCTCACACACTGCTTCACTGCAGAAACGCCAGCTGAAGAGCCCCTGCCGCAAAGTCATCGCTCTGTTTGGGTTTGGGGTGGAAGGCACTGAAAACACAAATATGCTGGGTCACTGGCAGCAACTACTTTGGAAATGGGCTTTAAGTCCACAAAGCACCGGCCTTCGTTCCACTCTGAAAGCTGTAAATGACACTGACAGAATCTGAGAACCTCAGTGGCCATATTAGGCTTTGACCCTCTGTACCACCGGACGGTTAAAACACCCGAGGATCACGAACACCCAGTGCCCAGTCGTCATGGCGACTCATCCCTGAGGTAAACACGGCATCCTGTTTCCTTCACAGGGCAATCGTCCCCCAGTGCATGCTGGAAAACAGGAAGACCTAGTAGACACCAAATAAGTAACCTTTGGTTTTTTTATGTTTAAATATTTTCCTTTATGGAAATATGATATGAATGTCTTTCTCTGGAAATGTACATGAGAGATATGGTTAACCGGATTCCTGAAATGGCTAAAGTGGCCATTGCTTTTGAGGGAGGGGGTGGGGGGGAGGGTTGGCTTTTCAAGGTAACTGACAGGGAGCCCCCCCCCCCGTACCTTCAAGCAGCAACAGAGGGACAGCACTAGATTTTGGTGCCCCCCCTTGGTCTCCCCCTTCCTGTTTGATAAAGCCAGAGGGAGGAGAGGGTGCCCCCCCCTCCCAAGGTCAAGCAGACGGCCGATGAGTCCCAGTTTCCTGCTGAACTCAAGGACACCTTCCCCCCTTCCCCCCAGCTGTGGGCCCCTTCCATATAGCCCCCCCCCCCCNTCCCCCCAGCTGTGGGCCCCTTCCATATAGCCCCCCCCCGCCAGAGCTGGAAAAGTGGTATTGACAGTTTGTCCCACAACTGAGACAGAACCACACAGCAACCTTCACATGTGGGTCACTGTTTCTTACTTCTGCCTGTTTTTTGGCAAAAGCAATTGAAATCACCATATCTAACACACAACACACAGCTTAATCAAGGAGCCCAGTGCAATAAAGCACAATTTACATTTATTGATCTGACCCTTTCATCCAAAGCGACGTATGGTTTTATGAGAAAGCCGGGTCACGCAGTCCCCGGAGCAATTATGAGTTAAAGGCCTTGCTGAAGTGCCCAACAGTAAAATGACTGAAGACTCTGGGATTTGAACCAGTAACCTTTCAATCCCAGCCACAGCATCCTAACCTGCGGAGCCACACACCGCCATGAAGTGACACGCTTGACTGTGGCTTCGGCCATCAAACGGGCTGCCCCCCAGCATGCTGCCCGTGCCTGAACTCCCCCATGAACTGCACCATTTTTGCCCCCCACCACAGCCCCTGCTCCTCTTTGCTACTGCTTTTGGAAGTGTCACTAACAATGGTCTTCCTTCCAAGTGTGTGACCTGCTCTGTTTGTCTATCCCTGTTCACCCCCCCCCCCCCCCCGCCAAAAAAAAAACAAACACCTCATGAATTATACAGCACTGGCAGGACTTAACTCCATTGTGTCTGATTTTTTTTTTTAGCAAAGTATGTATTAATAACCTCAGATGGCCCGGGGGTGTGCGTGCAAGTGTGCAGGGTCCCCGTCTCCACCTTCAGATCGACATCCCGCAGCTGGGTACGCAGGTGTGATTCCAGCCAGTGCGAGGACACACCAGGACACAGGTAACTGGTTTTGTGTTGCCATATGTCGTTTTGTAAATTGCCATCTTGCCTGGTTGTCTTACGATGGACACAGAAGGCGGTCTACCAAACAGACCTATACTGGGTCGCCCCCCATAACTAGCAAGCCAACTATCGACGCTTCATGCCGCCAAGCACTGTGCCCCCATTTAAGTGGTATGGGTGGAACAAGAGCTTGATGTGAACGGTTCCCAGAATGCTGAAGTTCCCATCGGAAGCCAGGGGCTCCAAGGTTCTGTGTGGCAAAGCTGTGGCGGAGTTGGACACACACACATACACTCTCTCTCACACACACACGCACACACACACACTCTCTCTCTCTCACACACACACACACACACACACACACACACACAGGCTGCTCCTGTGTTGTTCTGTTGCTCTCTTTTCCCAGCATACATCAAGCAGATAGACTGAACTGAAAACCCAGATCTTGTGCTAAATCAAAGCCTTCAGATAAACACCCTCCACTACTTTGTCACCGCTCTGTGGTCTGGACACCTTCCAGCTCCTGAAAGTTCTCTGTTTGATTCAAAGGACGCTAAAAAACAAGCCGGAGGACAGCCGAGTTTAACATCTGAAACTCAGATCCTCAAAAAGAGGAAGGTGTGAAACTGAAAACAGAGATTTCCTTTTATGGTCGCTGAGCTGAGCGACATGTCCCTCCTCCTCGCGATGGCCAAGCTGGACCGTCGGGGTCGTGGGACGGTGCCCGCATCTGGAACCCGCCGAATTCTGTATCAGTCCGCCTCCGCGACTCCGCCGATAAAATCGGCAAAGTCCCCCAGTTGACGGAGTCTGGACGGCGCCCATGAAACGGGTTAGCGTGTGGGCGGGTGACCTGGTATCAACACGGGAAGAGGAGTGGCAATCGAGCATGAGGAAGGAATAACAAGACTTGTTTAAAGGAAATGAAGACCTGAAGACTTCCACAGGGACCTCTCCGGCCTGCAGTCACCCGGTCATGCATGAGTACGTCCTGCAAGCGGCCTCACCCCGGAAAGCCCGAACTTCACGGCTCTGTGGTTACACACTAACCAGAGTTCCAGCTCTGCAATAAGTGGCAGGAGCATGTTCAATGCAGTGTGACCCACTGTGGAAAGGGGTCACACATCAACAAGATGAGTAATCAAAGGACGACTGACACTGGAACAATGTCCACCCTCAAAAATCCCCCCGGAAAGCTCTGCTGCTTCAGCCCTGGGGGGTGGACTTCCTCCAAACACCCCTGATGGAAGTTCTGTGACCTCCTTACAGGTTCCTGCTCCTGCTAGGAGGAAGTGGCCCACCATGCCTCAGGGGCCACTGTATGGCCGCGTTCCTCCCCGCACGCTTTAATGTTCAGGAAGCTCGGCAGAAGCTGGCGAGGAACATCCACAAAGCGCCTTTCCACCGGCGACGACCTCCGAGAGCAAAGCGACATTCCTACGTTCAGGAAACAGACATGAATAGCTAGCTGGGGGGGGCGAGGGGTGCCACGTAATTCCAGAATATATCTCAAGTCCAGCCCCTCCCCCTTCCTCGTTAGTTTAGGGCCTGCTCAGTGGATGCTGTTCTCATGTCCACAGTTGGACCGTGGTTGTTTCCCGACCACACACACTGTCAAGAGGGTATACCAGGGTCGTATACAGGGGCGGGACCATGGGGGAACTGGCCCTAGCTGAAAGCTGATTGGCTACTAGAATGCCCCCTCCCTGTCACTCACTGTTTCAAAACATATCATTGGCTAATGATACGGTTGGCTCTTCTGTATGAATTATGGCCCCTCTTTTGCCCCCACCTTAAAAGAAATCCTAAAACCACCCCTGGGGTAAACCATCTGTGTCCTTCTCTAGGGAAAAAAAAACCCAAGTCATGACCTGCAGACTGGGGTGATTTTTGTAGGATTTCCTTGAGCCTGAATGACAGCAAAACCTTCTTTATGAAACAATCATGATTACGTCTACTGGCAAGGCTTAGTGCTCTGTGCTTGCTCAGTGATTTCTCTAGCCCAAGCTGCAAGGCTAGTAAATGTTTTACACTAGATTCCGAGCAGGAAAAAAA